TTATTAATAGATATAGGTAAATAGGTAGATAAAGGAATTAGAGTTTTAAATAAGAAACTTACAAGCAGGTTTCAAATATGTTAGCTAGTATAAAACCTTTAGACAGATTACTTAAATTAGACAATAACTAAAGTTATATAAGTAGCTAGTTGTAAACTCTTTCTATAACTGCCTTTTGTAATTATAATACAACTATTAGCTAATATACTATTAATAAAATCCTGAGTCACAAGTACTCACCTTAATATTTAAAAAAAAATTTATTTAAATTTTTAAAAATTATATTGCTATCTTTAAATCTTCAGTTAAAAGTAATAATATAATTCTTAAAAATTTAAAAAATTTGCTAAATAATTAAAAAGTTTTTAGATAATAAGCAAATATTTTAAAAATTATAAAAATAGTTATAATAATTAATCTAGTTAATTTATATAAATTATAAATTTTAGTAAATATAAAAAAACATCTTTTTAATTAGTTAGTTTAAAAAATATTAATTATACAAATTACTGTATAATAATAATAGCTTAGTATTATACTATTTAGTTTTTTAGTATTAACTTTTTTTACAAAAATAATTTAAATATTCTTAATTTTAAAAAAAAAGTATTTAAATAAAGTATTTCTATATTAGCATATTAAAATAACAAATTAAACTACTTGTAAGTACTAAATACTATAAGTATAAATTTATTTTTAGTTTATCAATTTAACTTTTTAAAATTGAATACTTGAATAAAAATAATTTATACAAAAATAATAAGTATTACAAACTTTAAATATAATATTTAATTTTATATTTATTTTTTTATAATTTTTATTGATTGCTAATAATTTTTAAAGCAAAATTAATTTATACTACATATTAATATAAAAATTAAATAAAAGAATAATGTAATTTAGTTATAGTAATAATTTTAATTATAGAAATTGAGTCCTATAGCTTAGTTATTAAGCTTCTATTTCCTTATAAGCAAGATCAACTATTTAAGTTTGGCTAAAGATAAAATACTTTATAACCAAAAATAGAACCTATAATTAAATGCAAAGCTTATAGATGTTCAAGTAAAGATACATATTTGATCTAAGAAATTTTTAAAAAAAACTAGTATGACAAAGCATAAACACTATTATAGTAAAAAATATAAAAAATATTATTAATGTTTGTAGAAAGAATTAGTTTTACCTAATATAAAATTATCTCTAGCACTATAAATCTAAATAGGTGCAATTATGAAATTTATTTTTATTTAATAAAGTTTGTGCCAAGAGTAAAGTAGTTCTAAGACTTATTATTAAAAAATCAAGTTTGTACTATAGAAAAAACATTAAAAATCAGAAACTTTAAATAGTAAACCTATAGGTAGGTTTTAGATATAGTAATTAGTAAATAACTTGCAGATAATACCTTTAAATAGACAATAATTAAAGTTATACAACTGGTTAATTGTAGATTTATTGATATTCAAAATATAATACCTCTCTATATAATTGTAGATTATAAGTCTTAATAAAGATCATAAGCTATAAATGTTATTCTTTAAATTTGAAAAAAATTTATTTCAATTATATAATAAATTTATAAAGACTAAAATATTAATAATTATTAAAAATAATTATGAAAATATATAATTAAAATAAATAGAATTAGATAATTATTTTATTATTATTACTTACTTTCTTAAAGTTTATTTTTTTTAAACTTATTATTATACTAATATTATAATACTAACAGTTTATTTTGCTAACAGCCTAAAAATAGATTCATAATATTTTACTAAATATTAATTAACTAACAAGTTTATTTTACTAACAGTTTTATTTTAACAATAATTATTTTATTAACAAAGTAATTTTGATTATTGTTATAATAATCAGATTTAGAATTAAAGTTAAAATGACTATAATTTTTAAAAAATCTATTAGTGAAATAAATCATTAATAAAATAATTAATAATAAATAAACTTATTACTTAATTAATTTTTAGAAAATGATATAAATCTACTTTTATTTTATTAATAAAATAGATATTTGATATTATAATTTTAATAAATAATATTTCAGAAAAATAATTTTAAAAAGTTAAACTATAACTCTAAAAACACTTGTTCAAATTAAGCTATTTAATTTTAGTAAATCTTTTAATTATAGTAAAACTTTCTAAAATAATTTTAGAATTAAATTTAAATAAGTTTTACTAATAAACCTCTTGATTTGCTTAAGTTATATAATAATTGATTTTAATTAAATTATTTAGATAAAATATCTATCCTAAGTAAGAGAAATTGTTTAATTAAGAAATTTATCTAAAACCAAGTAATTTTTAAATTAATTACTGTTACTAATTAATTTATAAATTAAAGTTATATAATAAGTATAAAATTCTATAAGCTTTAAACAATCTTCATATTAAGGATGAGCTTCTTGTTTTGTAAACCATAAAATCCAAAAATATAATTAATATCATATAACATAGATCTCAATATATCTTTTATATCACATAATTGTAATATATGAAATAAATACAATATATATAATAAATTAAATATATTTAATAAACTAAACAAGTTTATAATGTAAATAGATAAGAAACTTTATTATAAATAAAAAGCAATTCATTCAGACAAAAAGAAAATAATTACAATTACAAACATAAAACTAAATACCTGCCTCTAACAAAAATAACAATGCTGTCTCATAAGAATAATAACTATTATTAATTTTATTACTAACACTACTTGCTTACTTAAAAGATAATTGAATAATTGCAATTGAGTGCTCACCATAGTTGCATATCCAGTAAACTAAAACAAAAGAGAAGAGTTTCACCCCAATTAAACATAGAAAAATTCAGGGTTGAGACATAAAAGAAAATAAGAATTAGAAAATAATAGGTTGAAGAAAAGACTCAAAGAGAAAACCAGTACTTACCTATGAACAAGAATCCACCCGCCAAATCTAACACGCCTGTTTCAACTTAGCCGCCATATATTACATGAAAGTTGGAGACAGACTCGCCGAATTCTGAGATGACAAAACCAGGTTGAACTGATAGGGCACACAGGTTGAGTTTTTTTGACAGGTTCAACCTCTAATCAGGTTGATCATTTAACCAGAACCAACATGGTCAGGTTGTTCAGTTGACTATCGGAGCTCTAATCGTATTACTAATTACAGATCCGTAAATCACAAATCATATCAAATCTTATTAAATAAATATAGTACTGTAAAACTTTCGGTTCACGTTCAAAATAATTACCCATATTTGGGCCCGAATTTAGGCATGCATTTAGAGAGGGTGTGCAATTATGGAGAATGTACTTATTAAGGTTTTACTGTATTTAAATCATTTATTTAATGATTCCTTATATTTGCCCATCTTATAATAAGTTGCCCATGATATTTCAACGAAATGTATGTACCATTACTTGATTATCACTCGATTGTCGATTGTAAGGTGATTTCTTAGTCAAATTTTAATACAAATAAAATATTTTTATAATCTATGACATTCTTAAATCCTTTATATTTTATTATATATTATAATCTTGTCATTTATTATGAAATTATTTTATCTCTTGCAGTTGCGATCAAAATTTTACTTGCTTTTTCATGTTGTAATCATGAATTTATTTTCTTTAGACTTGAATTTATTTTTTTTTAGACTTGTTTTAGACTTTCGCTGAGCTGTGCACATACCAGTATTGTAGATAAGTAAGGATCTTACCATACCAAACATTTGCTAGAATGAATTTAAATGATGGCTTTTAATACGATAACCTTATAAATTTTTTTTTGCCACGTTTCATCACAGTTTTATTTTAGACTTTATTTATGCTACTGCTTTTTTATTATTATTCTAAAATTAGATCGATTTATTACATCATTATTACATCATCATAAAAATTATTTTACAATACCAGATCATTCCGCTAAGATTATAATCCAACACTATTTTATTATACTGTAATAAAAATAGCGTTGGATTATAATCATAACATATACTAGCTGGTATTGTAAAATAATTTTTTATATTTTGCACACCGGGCGAAGGATCAGTCGTATAACATCGACGTCTCCTCCTTTATATATTAATTCTTTCTTTATTGTTCTAAAGTTAAATTGATTAATTAGTATGTAGTGTTGGGATTGTATAACTATTATAGATTCGGTAATACTTTGTATAATGTAATACGAAAATAACCTCCTTCTGGGTCAGTCAAAATAGAATTTCCCATAAATTAATTAAAATAAATACTTATTAATATTTAATCGTTAAGTATTCAGCAGTTCACATGCAATGCATCAATAACTGCATATTAATGATTATTAATTATTATTATTAATTTAAGAGGTCCCATCCCAATTATTATGCAAAAAATGATCGATAAAAATTAAATTTAATAAAGATCAATATTTATAGTAATTGCTTAAATTTAAGCTTAATAAATGTCAATATTTATATTTACAGTAATTACTTAAATTACTTAAGCTTAATGATTATTATTTATAACAATAATAATTTATTTAATTAAAATTTAAGTTTAATAAAGATCAATATAGAAGTGATTTTCAAATCCTTCCGTTACGATTTTTTATTATTATTTCATCAGAGCCGATAAAAAATTCGACACAGAAAAGGCGAAATTGGATGAAATTCTTATAAAAAAGTGTCAAGAATACCACTAATGGTATGATGTTTCTTAAAAAACTTGTTATTTATCACGCGAGGCCGCACATTGAAACTATTTGTAATGCGTAATAACAAAATTTTTAATTGATTTAAAATAAATATAATTTAATAATGTGACATCATTACTTATTATCACTACTTATTATTTATAATAAGGCAAGATGCGAATTGTTGATTAAGCCAAAAACGGATATGAATTCCTAGCCTGTTTAAATTATAAATACAGGTTGAGTTCGATAAAGGTGTAAAATTTATTATCATTTCATCCGATAATTTGTTCTGTCTAATACTGTCAATACTGCCATCATGAAATTCAACTACGTTATTTTACTTCTTATTATTGTTATTTTAAATGTTTCCTTGACATTTGCTTCGCCTGCTTCGCCCGCTTCGCCTGATTCTCATGATATTTTAGCAAGGTAGTTAATTTGATTTGTTGTAAAAGAAAAGCCTATTTCCACCATTATAGTTCTGTGGCCTAATGTTAGTAAATAAAGTTGTGTCACATGACATAGTTATGGAAAAAATAGTGATCACATTTTTTGGTGGAAATAGCAAATTATTATTCAGAATTTATTTGATGCATTATTTTTTGCTGATTTGAAATTATGCCTAATTTATATAACGCGTTTTCTATTGGATTATTAGAGAGTATGTACTTTATTGCATTTGCCATGTACTTGAATTATCATTTGATGATACTAATTGTTATTTATAACCATAACGTGTGCACTTTAATGTTTTCTTTTATTAAAGTGTTAGTGAAGAGTATGTACTAGAATTATTATTTGTCGATACCTAAATTGTTATTTATAACCATAATGTGCTTTAATGCTTTCTTTTATTGAATTATTAGAGATGGGTATGGATATGTACTAGAATCATTATTTGACGATACTCAAATTGTTATTAATAACCATGTGATTTTAATGTTTTCTTTTATTGAATTATTAGAGATGGGTATGTACTAGAATTATCATTTGATGAACCTAAATCGTTACTTATAACCATAATGTGCACTTTAATGTTTTCTTTTATTGAATTATTAGTAAAGGGTATGTGCTATAATTATCAATTGTTGATGTTCAGATTCTTATCAATCGTTATTTATAACTTAATTTGCATTTTAACAATCCTTTGTTGAATTATTAGAAAGTATGTACTTTGTTTTTTTATGTATTAGAATTATATTTATAACCATAATGTAATTTGACAATTTTTTTATCGAATTACTAGATGGTAAGTATAAGTTATTATAATGCTTCTAATTTATTATTAAATAATTGGCATGTAAGTATAAGTTTGATTATATTTATTTTTAAATTTAAAATTTGGTAATTTTTTAAAACATGTATTTGACATATATTTTAACAAATCTATCTATCAAATTATTAGCTCGTGAGTATAATCTATATTTATTTTTAAATTTTTATCTTTAAATTATTCTATTTATAAGTTATAACGTATATTTTTATTAAATTATTAGCAAGCAATTATGAGTTTCAATATATTTGGTTCTAAATTTTTCAATTGATGATTCTATTTATTAAATTGTTAGCAAGTAAGTATAATTTGCATTATATTTGTTTATGAAAATTTATTAATGATTTGTAAAACATGTCTTTCGATATCTGTAAATTTATAACGAATATTTTCTTTTGTCAAATTATTAGAAAGTAATTATAAGTTTTATATATTTTTTTTTTTAAAATTATTATTAATGATTTTTAAAATATAAATCTAACAAATATTTTAACTAATGCTTTTGTCAAACTATTAGCCCGTAAGTACAAGCTTTAGCATTCAGTGGTTTTATGATGCTATCTATAAATTTATAACGAATATTTTCTTTGGCATTATTAGCCCGTAAGTATAGGCTTTATTATCTTTGTTTTTAAACTTATTTATTTGACGATTACGATTTTAATGATAATATTTGTTTACTGAATTATTAGAAAGCAAGTATAAACTTTATTTTATTTGCTTCTAAATTTTTATTTGATAATTTTTAAATTACATTATTAATAAACATAACGTATACTCTTTTCTTAAATTGTTAGATGGTATATATAAACTTTATTATGCTTACTTTTGAAATTTTTATTATAAATTAAATTTATAATATATATTTTCTTTTATTAAATTATTAGCAAGTAAGTATAAAATTTCACATTTACTTTAAATGATTACTTGATAATTTTAAATAATGTTACTGACAAATATCATCTTTTATTAAATTATTAGTGCGTAAGTATTAACTTTGTATTTATTTTTAAAATTATTTTTGATAATTTTTAAAATATTAATATAATGAATATCTTAACAAATGTTTTTGTTAAATTATTAGTAAGTGAGTATAATCTTTATATTTATCTCTAAATATTATATTTAATGGTTTTAAATTACGTTATCTCTAATCTTATAATATATATATTATTGAATTATTAGAGCGTAAGTATATGCGTTATTATATTTATTTTAAAAAGTTTTGTTTGATAATTGATACTATTTATAACTTTAATATTTTTTTATTAAATTATCAGTAAGTAAGTATATGCTTTTAAATTTTTATTTTATTATAATTACGTTATTTATATTTACGTTATTTATAATTACGTTATTTATGATTACGTATTAATAATTCTATAATCTAATTTTTTTCTACAAATTGCTAGATGGTATGTATAACTATAATTATGATTATTTATAAACTTACTATTTAAAAACTTATCATTTAAATTTAAACTATTATATTTAATATTAGCTGGTAAGTAATGTATAAAACCTATAAGCTTTTAAAATTAATATTTAAAATATATCTAATTAATATTTAAAATATATCTAATAAATATTTTATTTTAGCCCGTAAATATAAGCTTTATTATTTGCTTATTTATTAAATGTTTATTTAAAATATATATTTTACAATATATTAACAAACGTTTGTTGTCAAATTATTAGCGGGTATAACCTTTATTATATTTATTTTTAAAAATTTTTACTATTTAATACTAATAAATTTATAATTTTTTTCAAATTACTAGCTAGTAAGCATAATTTTTATTATTTTTATTTTTAAAAATTTTTACTATTAATGCTAATAAATTTTTATATTTTTTTCAAATTACTAGCAAGTAAGCATAATTTTTATTATAGTTATTATTAAAATTTATTTGATTTATATTATACTAATTATAATTTTATTTTATAAAATTATTAGATGGTAAATTAAAATTTATTCTATTATTATAAAGATTTATTTATTACCCATATAAATTTTTGGAAAATTCTATTTTGACCATCGACAGATTTTTAGGGTCAGTGTAGGCAGGAATTAGGTCGATGCCGGCCAGGTTTTTACACTAAACCCGGCCGGAATTAACATACTTTCGCCCATAGTAACTCTAAATTCTAGGTCATTTTGACCTGGATCAAAATAGAATTTCCAAACCATTTTGTTATATTTGATTTTACAAATTTATTAGCTAGATTAAATAGTAAAATCTTATTTTGGGCAATAAATAGATTAACTTTTGATTATAATTTGTCTAAGTTATTTGTAAAATATATATCTAATCAACTAAAAATTTTTTAAAGTGTTGGGTAAATATAAATTATATAATATTATTTTTAAAATTATTAGTATTTTAAAATATATATTAAAAATTTTTAACAAATTATTAGAAAGTAAATATAAATTTATTATTTTTAAAAATTAGTAATTTTAAACTATATCTAATAAATATTTACTAAATTTTTGTTAAATTTTTAGGGGGCAAGTATACTTTTATATTTATTTTTAAAATTATTAGTAATTTTAAAATATATATTAAATATTTTGAAAATTTTAACGAATTATTAGAAAGTAAGTATAAACTTATTATTTTTAAATTATTAGTAATTTTAAAATATATCTAATAAATATTTAATTGAAAAAATATATTGAAAACTTTTAAAATTTTTAACAAATTATTAGACAGTAAATATTAATTTATTATATTTAGTTTATTTTTAAAATAAGTTTAATATATATTCTAATGTATTTTAATAAATATTTATTAAATTACTAGCAAGTAAGAATAGATTTAATTTTATAGTAAATTCTATTTTGATTCGAAGTATAGTACAAACTATTACAGATTCTATAATAGTTTGTGTTATGCAATACGAAAATACTCCTTTCGGTTATTTTGACCTGGTTAAACCAGAATTTTCCTAATTTTATATATTTGGTTTTTAAATTATATTTATTAATATTTTTTATTTAATAATGTATTTTAATAATATTTAACTTAAATTATTGGCAAGTATAAATATAATGATTATAATTTAATAATTGTTAATTAATATATTTACTAATATATATGATAAATAATATATATATTCTAATAGAAGAACTTGTAAGTCGAAGGGAAAGGAATGATAAATTATTATCATTCACTAGTCAATTAATAATAATTGGTAAGTTATTAACTAATAATAAAATATTTAATTATATATATAATCAGTTTATATAATATATTTAAAATTTTATTTGTAGGCAATTTAATTTTTATTAAGTGAATGAATAAATTAGATATATAAAAGGCTTTATTTTATAAAAATAAAATTTATTAAATCAATTTTAAAAATCTTATAAATAAAAGTTTTAAGTTTATATAAATTTAGTATAATTTTAAATTAATAATAATATTTATTTTTAATTTATATTTAAATATATGTATTTGTTTAAAAAATTAATAAAATAATTTAAATATTATTTGAGTACTACATATTATATTATTGACAAAATTTTTAGCTTTTTAAAGTGCAAGATTTTGGTAGTGTTGAAATATTTACTGAAGAATCCACCATGCAAAATGAGATTATAACCATTTTTTTGAATGTAATTCAAGGTTTTAAAGAATTAGCAAATACCTTATTATCTCAAAATAACGCCACTGGTGTAGATTAAAATTTTGGCCCGTATTAAACTTAATTTGACCAAAATTTTAATCCGCACCACAGGGCATTATTTCTAGACAATACAGTCCAGGTGTTAAAAAAGTATTAATTTTATGTTTGATTCCCTTCATATATGTACGGTATGTATTCATTCACCGAATATCCATTAATTTATATCTATTATTTGCATTTATTTTTTATTTATTCATTTATTTATTAAAAGTCGTTCTTGACTTATCTGACAACATTTGTGGATATATTTCTAATCATCTTTTTTTCAATTTACTGCTATTTTCCAACACTTAACCTTCTTTTAATTATGATATCCGACTTTTTGAACAAATGAGACTCACAACCCTAAATAGTATTTTCAATATAAACGAGTGAGTATATTAATCCGAAAGCGCATTATAATTTTACAATGTTAACGACTTTTTTTGATAATCTTGGCTTTCATTAACTATAATACATCTAAACTAAAAAATTCATTTTATCTATATATAAAAATTTTTAAATTTAACTACTTTATTTAGTTTTTTTATATTAAATAAGGTAAGTTTTATTCTTTAAAAAATATAGATTTTAACATTTATACAAATAATTTGCAGTAT